TTTCAGGGGAAGAAAAGTGCCTGTAGTGTAATGAATGAAAGCTACAGACTTGTGGAAAAGACACTAGAAGTTGTAATCCATGGTACTAATTAACAACATTTAAGCGCATATACCGTGCCCAAGCCTGGGCTTGACACTTCTGCAACCTGTATAGAAGATATGTGAGAGAGGGTTATTCTGTTGACAAGCTTGTAGTCTCTTGTTGGAGAAACAAATATGATACAGTCTGTATTAAGTTGTTACCAGTAAAAAAAAAAAAAAAAAAAAAATGGGGCAGATTGATAGAATAATCTGAAGTAATCAAAAGGGAGAAGCCATAGATTTCACCAACTGGATGCTGATGACTTGCTTTGTTAAGCATTCCCTAAGGCTGTAGAACATTAACTTTGCTAATTATCCCCAAGGGCAGATCTTTCTCATAAACTGACTCTTGTGCTATGGAAATTTTGTGTTGCATTTGGGACTTGGCATGCTTTGAAGTTGCCCAGCATCTTTTGTGAGTGTCTTGAGCCTTTTCAGAAAAAAAGTAAAAACTGAATTCCAAGTTGTGTTACCAACCTGGTGACTAGAAACACATGACTATTTAGAAGAATCCAAACATACCAGCTGTGGCCAAGACAGCCAAAGGAAAATAATTGGCATGAGGGGTACTGTTTCCTTAGACGGTTTGTACTTCCTTTTATTAAAATATTTTCTTTAGAGATGATAAAGCAATACTTTGCAGAGTGAAATTAGGACATCATAATCCTTGTTCATGAGGCCTTATTATTAGCAGGTAGCTACTTGCACTTCTAAGAAGCTAATTAGTTGCTGCATGGTTTATCATGCTGAGAGGTTGCTGCGATTCATGGGTATTTAGCCATCAAAACAGGGTTTTCTGACGCTATTTGGTTATGAAATTACTTATACTTCTGACTCAGGCCTTTAAAAGGGTTTCCAGCAGTTCTTGAAAGCCAGCTTCTGTACTCAGGAGCACTTTGTGTTGTTCAGATGGTGTATCAGCTCCACAGCACGAATCCTGTGGCACTGTGTATCTGACTTGCCTTTTCTGCTGAAACTCCAGAACTGAACATGATAAGAATTTTCATTGATGTAAACTTACTATTCTGTAAGAACTTAAACTTTCTATCCATATTGGAAACAATACCAACATGGATTTTTGTGGTTATGTTTTCTTTAATAAGCTGCTGAGTAACTTGTAACAACCACATTCCGTATGTTAATTTGAATCATGAGTTTAGTATGGACTCTTAAAACCTTGTTTTTTTCTTCACTAGATATTTATTTTATTTGGTTAGTGATTGGGATAGGGAAATCAAAACCTCTTTATAAAAGGTTTACAAACTTTATATATAATTATGTACAGTTTTTGAAACTCTGTGTTCTTAATTTTGGGGATCTCATACCATCATCTTTGCATAATGAAAAACCAAAGCACAAATGTGAGCCTTGAACTATTTTCTTTCTTTATAACAGATTTTAGATTAATAACTGGGAAATTCTTACTCATTCATTTGAGTGCTTTTGTAGTTTATTTAAATCTAGGGTTCAGTTATACAAATATATGATAGTGATTTAAAACAGAGCTTAGGGGCTGGGATATAGCGCAGTGGCACAGTGCCTGCCTGGCAAGTGCAAGGTTCTGAGTTTGATTCCTAACACCAGAAAAGAAAAAAAATCTTTCTAAAGCAGAGCCTAAAGCTTAGTGGTAGTCCTTAGTTGTCTATCATTAGAACAGCGGTATTTGTGTAGGAAGAGATTTTCTTTCGTTTCTCCAAATGGAAAGGAGATTTTGGGATAACATAGCTTTCATATGTGATGTTTTTCAAAAGTGGACTTTATGTGTAGAAATCCATAAATTATGTCTTGCAAGGATTGTCTTCATTAGTAACAAATGGTATTAATAGGGTTGATGCTGTACTATGTATATTGGATCAGGATGAATAAATGTTGAATTTACTAATTCTTCAGTTTCATATAGCAGTTTTAGGGTTTAAATTTGTATAGCTCATAATTTTATATTCACCAATACTGGGTCTGTTTGTTTTTTGTTTTTGACTGGTATAATTGGCCTAAGCTCTTGCACATGAGACCTGGAGGTCACATGCAAGCAATAGGGACAAGGAAGACAGAAGACCCTTCTTGTCCCTAGAAGTTACTGTGCACTAGAGTGGGTAATAGGGCCAAAAATGAAGTTTTCTGGGACATTTTCAAAGAATCATGTTCTAAACAGAGGCATGACAGATGGTCTTTGAGTGACACTTTACAAAGTATGGTGGTTTAAATCTGTGAGGCCCACTTTGTCATCTGTAGGACTTTTTTTGCAGTTTTTTTAATTTTAAAGAGAAAAAAAACACAGTAACAACAACAAAGACAAAAAGAAAACAACACAAAAACAATAAAAATGGTACAGAATTTGAAAACAAGATGGTAGGAAATCAACAATGGTTGTTATATTGCATATTGTTATCTTCAGTGAAGTTGCTCAGATTGCCAGATGTATGAATGCAAGATGGATCAATTAAACATAACTGTTCCTTTCAGTGAACCACTAGAAATTAGTAGGACAATTACCTTAGCTATCTTGTGTGTGTAGATACATATTTCCCTGCCTTTTCTCCATTCCTCCATCCCAGTTGTTCTTTCCTTCTTTAAAAAAGAGAACAATGAAACAATTTTAAAACAGGTTATTAGGACAGTTCCAATAGTTGATGCATTGTGTATTGTCATCTTCCTAGTAGTTATTCAGAGTAGAAGATATAGGCATGATATCTTGTCTACATATATTAGCACAAGATTTTCTTTTTAATGAACTAAGAGAAACTAGCTGTATGACAATCTTAACTATCTTGTATGTACTTTACATTCGTTTCTGACAGTGGATTTCTTCATCTTTCTAAAAAGGTTATGTGTAATATCCGTCTGGCCTGGCTGTCCATAGATGATTCTTACTACTAATATAAAATGATTAGCGTAAAAAGCCTTTGAAAACAGCACTTGGTGTGTGATGGTAAGGTAGATGCTTCTTCATTATCCCTCTTCTCATCTCCCTCTTCAAGCCATCCCTGAACTACTAGACTTGTCAGGTCTCTGTTCTCGGCCTTCTTCTCATCCTGCATTTCTGAGTGGTTTTGCCTGTCAGAAGTGTGCACGATCACGCAGAGATGCCTTTTGGGCTCTAGATTTTCTGTAACATCCAAGCTTTACCTGGTCTGGTTGCAGTTTGACGTTGTATTGAAAGAAATGTAGTCTAGCTACTGAAATCACTTGAAAAGCAGTACTCCCTCTCATGTTTCTTGGAGAAGGTAATGGCATCTAGGTTATAACTCAGCAGTGGGCTAAAATCTGTCACCCCCCTTCTCCCCAGGCAAGGCACAGTCTCTTTGTGCCAGGCTCCCGTCTTCTCCAGACTTGCCCTGGGACCATGACCTGCGTCTCTTCCCAGTCTTTTTTCATCTGAACTTCTCCCCACAAACCAGATCTTTTGCCCATGATTTTTTCTCCATCCTGGTCTTTTTTTTTTTTTTTTTTTTTTGCCTAGTATCAAGAACTAGGCCAACAAAGACCAAATTCTCCCTTGCGGATGAGGGAGATAGAGGTTAGTTATTTTGGCAAAGATTCTCTTTTTGGGGAGATGAGGCTGGAAGCTGCCATGTCTGAGTAATCGATGCTCCCAGCACATGTGTGAATCGTGCTACTTGCTCAGTTTGTGTATTCACAGAGCGTCTCTGCCTCCATCTGTCTATAATTTGAGCTTACTGTGTTCCACTCAAACTTGCTGCTGCTTTGGTATTTCCTGTCTTTATACAACATAACCAGCATATCCGTAGCTGCTGTACCCGACTTCATCCTTGACTGCTTTCTCTCCTCATCTGTTACATCTCAGTCTGAATACTAAACACACAATTCTCAGATCACTCCAGTTTCCCTGGTCTCCACTGCTGCCACTGCATTATTGCTCTGTGATCAGTCTTCCATCCTGTGGCCAGAACGATCCTTTAACAATGTGAACCTGATTGTGCAGCCACTCCTCTTTTATACCACACTCTTCATTGGGTTTCCAAGTTTCTGTATAGTCAGGTTGGTCATGCCTATTTCTCTTGAAAAGTCCCCTTTCTTCAGCAGGATGCATTTCTTCCTGCCTCAAGGCCTTTGTCTAAGCTGGTCTAATTGTCTAAGATATGCCCCACCCTCTTCAGCACTCTCTTATTTTTTGATGAGATCTCAAGTACGAATTCTTCAGCCGGGGCCCTCTGACTCCTCATGCTGAGCCCTTCCCTTAGCTGTGGGCTCCCGTTCCCCACACTTTCTGAGACCTCAAGGTCCATGTGGACAGAAAGTCTCTCTCCCAAGCACCCTCCCCTTGTGCTTAGCTGTACTCCCATAGTGCTTAGTATTCTGTAGGTCCTCACCGGTTAATGGATGAGATATGTCTCTCTGCCTCTCTCATTTCACTTCCACTTACATTCTGCCTCACGCTTTCTGTTTATCTCTGGTGAACCCCATGTTCTCATGTTTTTGAAAATGCACACTTGTCTGTGCAGAACTGTCTTCCTAGTCTTTTCTAGCTAGTTGTCAGTGACATAAGGTGGAAACCTGTGGATGGCTTTATTACCCTTAATATGTTATTTTGGATTTATTCATTTGATTGAATGTTTTTGTAAGTAGGGCTGTGTTTTGCCTTGTTCAGAGCAGAGATCCTATTTTGTTTATTTATACTCACAGTATACCCAGGCCTTCACACAGGTTGAAATGAATTGAAAAAGTTGAGATGCCTCATAACTTGCTGATATTATTGACTGTCTTCTATATGCAAGGCACAATTTTAGGTGCCTTACTCTGCTGACTCATTGAATCCTCTGAACCTCTATGAAGGAGTTTTATTCTTCCCATTTTAGAGAGGAGTAACTGGATACCCAGAAAGATTCAAACTTAGCCAGCTGTGAAGTGGCAGGGCTGGAATTGAAATCCACTGGCCTATCCTCTGATGATTGGTCAGCATGGTCACTCCCTTTAAGACTGGCTGTGGGACTCTGCCAGGTTTAAATTCTGATTCTTCAGCTTATTGTATGCCCAGGGGTAAGGTGCTTCCCTGTGAAATGGGGACAGTTACTGCCTGTACGAGGAATGTGCTGAGGATTGAACAAGGTAATCAGTCACTATGAACTAGGTAGCGGAGGGGAGGCAGTGGTAACAGTGCTAATTTCATGTGGGCATTCATTGGACAGAGCTCTTGGAGTTCTTTCCAACTCTGGACACAGTGACCTTGACTTCTTAAGGATCCTCAGTCTTTCTCCTTTGCCATAACCTATTACATTCACTGAGTGTAACAAGCTTTACTAGGGCCCAAGCACATGCCTCCGTTTCGCGCAAGTAGAATCTAAGGATTTTGTGGCAAGCACGTGTTGCCTTACATCACCATCCTAATTTCCTGTGCTCGATTCTGAGGGTTAGCTGGCTGAATAAAGTTCTCTAGCTAAAGAAAGTAATTGAATTTTTATCTACAGCTAGACCAATGTGGAAAAGTAAGTCCACATAATAAATTAGTGTTTTATTTTTGAATATTTATTGAGATGTTCTAATGTTAAAGTACCACCAAGGCCAGCTCATTTCTTTCTTTAAGTAGAGAGCCAGAAAGGCCCCACACTGACCCGGTGGTTTGGCCTTCATGGTGTTTATCCTGCAAACTAACTGTCTTGGTGCCTCAGAGAATTAGAGTTTGTAAAATAATATGGTGAACATCAAGATTATTTCTGGAAGATTTCCAAAAACAGGTCCATCTCACACCTCTTTAGTTTTCTACTTAGTATATGTGGGATGGGTAAGGCAAGGGCTTCTTTATTAAAAATAAAAGGTGACTAATTCTAGTGACTAATAAAGTTAGAGCTACTACCATAGATTATGCTATATATTTTTGAATAGCTAAAAAATTAAGCCAGTATGACTGAATACACTTCAGCCACAAAATTATTTCTTTAAGATCATCTACTTTTTGAGAACCATTAATTCCTTCATACAGTGTTTAATGTAGGCTGTTTCTGAAATGTACACCTCGTCAACTGAATATAGTGACTCAAACTGGATTTCTTACTAGTAAACTAAAGTCCTGATATATCTGCTGGTAGTGATTACTTTGGATAGTTAATATGTATTCTGGGGTAATTTTTTATTTTTGCCATTGTCTGATAACATTTCCATATAGACTAAAAATATTTCAGTAACTACAGTTTTTAGAAGAGCATTTTTGTACTTTTAGTCTTTAAATAATTATAGCTCGGTGTGGTAGCACATACCTGCAAATCCAGCAGTCTGAGAGACTGGTTGGCTGGCCTAGCCTGCAACTTAGTGATTTTGTGAGATCCTATCTCCAAAACAGCGAGAGAGAAGTGGGGATGTAGCTCAGTACCCTGGGGTAAACCTCATCCTGAAAGGGAGAGAAGAGAAAGAAACCACAACACACTTCAGCCCTGTAAAATTATCTAAGGTCTGTTTGGGTTCATTTATTAGACTTTCAAGTAATAGTGTGAAGAAAGATACTCAGGCTGGTATCTCACATACTCATCTGCAGTAGCCTCAGATTAGTTATATATAAAATCCTTAAATTGTGGTAGTCCTTGTTTGAAGTAGGAAACCAAGCCCACATATTGATGTTTGTGTCTGTGACTGGTGTTAATATTTACAGCAACAGTAGGAATCCTGAGTAAATGTGTCCTGTTCACTTCTTTTTCTTCCTAGGCATTGCTTCTATGACAGTGCCAGTGTACATTGCAGAAGTCTCACCACCTAACTTACGAGGCCGATTAGTCACCATTAACACCCTCTTCATCACAGGAGGGCAGTTCTTTGCCAGTGTTGTTGATGGAGCCTTCAGTTATCTCCAGAAGGATGGATGGAGGTTTGTAAATAATTCTTACGATGAGTTTTTCAAATCAATCATGACTTTGAGGAATTGGGGAAAAAACTGAAAAATCACAGGTAAAAAAATGTAACTGGATATTTTGAATCATTGCAGTTAAGTTACAAGTGGGTGGCATTCAGCAAAATTGAAAGTAGACAAGAAGCTGATATTTATTTTAATGATAGACAAGAAACCTATCATTAAGAATTGATATTTACAGAGTTTTTTTAGCATTTAGGTGACATTTCTCACGCTATGGGTAGTCTTTTGCAATATTTGTTTAAAAATGAATGTGGTAATAAATATGCATGGAGTTCTGGAATTATATGAATGATTGACAAGCTGTTTATGAACTACGGATATATCTAACATTCATTTTGGGTTTAGGAAGGCACATTCTGATTTGAAAGAAACCTAATTTTTAAAGATGCAGATTTAGTTATATAAAAAAGATGCTGTGTGTGTGGGTTTAAAATAATTAAAAATGAAAATACTCAGCAAAATATTGTTTTGGTTATTCTGAGTCAAAAGAAATGATAAAAGTGGTACTATAAAGCCATTGAAATACATTTAAATACTGTAAAAACAGCATTGTTGAAGCTTGAGGATAGGTGCTCTGGATTGCATGCATTTATTAATTTTTTTACTTCACCTTAGAAGAACTTGATATGATTGGAATGGAGAGAATTAAACTTGCCTATAAGCAGCATGATTATCGATACGGTGTAGTGTGAGCTACTGAAGTCTTAAGCTGTTGAAGTTTCTGTAGAGGTCATGTGAGAAATCTCCTAAGCCACTGAGGGCTGACCGCATGCCTTTGTAACCGCCGGTAGGGAGGACGCCGCAATCACAAGGTTTGGCTGTGTCTGAGACAAGGCTACCTTTGAAGGACTCAGTCTCTGCCAAAGTGAGAAATTATTGGAAAATTGAAAAAGTAGGGAATTTCATCTTCCTGTTCTGCTCTGTAGATTGAGAAAAAGAGGAAAATAATTGTTAGGTTACCAGCTTAACCTGATATTTTCAGTTTTTCTTGGAAACTCAATTGATGTCAGTTAATCCTTAAACCTACATGTCTTAAGGAAACCTAAGTCACCTGCTAACATTTTATTGAAATTTTTATTAATGTAACTTTATGGTGTGATTCTATAATGTAGTGTAACATAGATATATATTCAATACGTAATATGCTGAGTGCATTTCTCACTTAAGGACAACAATTTAAATATTGTCTTCTCCCACCAAGGTGGTGCATGCCTGTGACTCCAGCATTGGGGGAGCTGAGGCTGGAGGATCTTGAGTGCAAGACCAGACTGGAGTGTGTAGGACTCACTGTCCTCTCCTGCCCTCCAGAAAAATAAATCTTTTCTCAGTACTGGTTAGGAGAGTTGAAAAAAATCATAGTGTAGGGAAAATAAATTTGTAAGAAGTGGCAGTGTTGAGATGGGCTTTAGATACATTCCATGGGCAGGATGACAAGAGTTATTGACCTGGATTCAAATCTGTTTTCTACCATTTGGCTATTAGCATGAACCTGGGACAAATCACTTAATTCCTCTTAAGGTTATTTTTCTACCAGAAAGGGGTAGAAAATACTGACGTTATAATACTGTTGTAGGATCTAAATTATTACATACAAAGTGCTCAGCCCAGGGTGTGGCGTGTGGCAAGTACTTAATAAACAGTATGTCACATTGTTGTTTACTATTCTGATGAATGAATCAAAAGTGGGTGCTACTATAGGTGAGGGAAATTGAAGGCTGCTTCTGCTTTCTTTTTTTTTTTTTAATGCAACTAGGGCTTGGATAGAGCAGAAACCTAGAAGAAAAAAAAAAAAAAATTAAATGCCTGTAGCTGCTGTGGGAAATTAGGCAGCAGATGATTTCCTCATACCCAGGTGGATGCCAGATGAAGTTGGAGACATTTGTCTTGGTGAAGTCAATTAGCAAGCTTGTGTGTATTTTTCCTGTATTACTGCAGAGCTCAAGGGGGCAAAAAAGAAAATGGGAAAACTAGGGCTCATATTAAAGTGTTTATAGCCAGATTACATTGCACCCTACTTATTGTTTGTACAAACTCATATAACTGTGTATGCATGTAAATACACTTAGTTCTTTAAAAAGTAAATTTTCTGTAGGCTACTGTCTTCCATTATTTAGCATCCTTAGCAGTATTTAACCTTGTCTGACCATTGGCCTGTTAGGAATATGATTATAAGCAATTAAAGATAGAAACGCTACCTTAGCATTAACTTCAGGTGCTGGAATTGTCAGTGAATATAATTTATTCATATTTATAACAATAGATAATTTGTCACTTTTGAGGCCATGTTTCCAAACTCATAAAGCAAATGTGGGTCTCAATATTTTATATCAAGTTTCTTTTTCATACTTCTATCTCTGTATATCTTAAAGGAAGATGTCTCCAGCCTTCTAAGAGTTTGAATATCTTAGCAGTTTATTTTTTATTTTTATACTCTTATTGCTCTGAAACTCTAGGTTACTAACATTTGCTATTACATTTCATACTCAGTGTCTCAGATTCCATGGTTACATTACGGTAATGGGCAAGTTCAGAGTCTACTAGTAAATATCATTTGCTTCTGGGTGATATCTTGAGGAATTAGTGGAACTGGTTTATTCTCAGTTTTGAGTTTAAAAATTTGATGCTTAGAGAAGTTAAATACCTGCATGGGACCACGTGTTCAGAGACCACTGAGTCCCGAGAGCAGCTGAGACTCCTGGGCAGCAGTTTAGAGCCGGTGTTCCCACTGAGAATCTAACCACTGTCTTCTTCATGCTCTGCTTCCAAGAGTTTGTAATCTAAAGGCCAGAATTATTCATCATTTTTACAGCACTAATTACACTCTGATATGTGAAAGATGACCCTCAGTGACAGGTACTTGTTAGATTTTAATGTTACTGAAAGACTGTACCTTTTTTGCCGGATGAGTCAAGGGTTCTGTTCTCTTATTGTTTGGATGGCATAGAACTGATTTTTCTTTTTTAATCCTGGGAATTGCATCCAGAGCCTCTCACATACTAGACAGCACTCTGTAGTTGGGCTGAGCTACATCCACACCCCTTTTTAAAAACTTATTTTGATGTAGGGTCTCACCAAATTACCCAGGCTGCCCTTGAACTTGTGGTTCTCCTGCCTCAGCCTCCGGAATAGCTGGAATTATAGACTTGTGCCACCATGCCCAGCTTGATAAATTGTTTTCTGTTCAACTGAAAGATATTTGCAATATCTTATGAATAAATTCTAGGCACAGTGAGGGAGAGGAACACTGTAGGTGTTCTAACTAGGAAGTATAGTTTTCCAAGGCCCTGTAGTCTGAAATAGTCAGTCTATGCTTGGACAGCAGTGAGAAGTTAGAGCAGTGAGGTGGAGCTGTGATGATAGCCTGGAGCTTGGTGTAGGGGAACAGGAAGGTGAGTCTTCATGGGTGAGGTAGAACTTCAAGTGTGTGCTTGCCTCCTCCTTAAATTAAAGTTTGGGGTTTTTTTTCCCATTGCTTTCTCTTCAAACAGTACAAGTTTGGTTTGTTTATTCAGAAAATCTCAGAATAATTTTTAAGAAACCAGTATTATTTTTGGAGAGAAGAATTGATGAGTCTCCTTCCATCATCATATTTTATAATTTATAAAACCATGCCACTAAGCTTTTCAGAATGTTATTTGTAAATAAAGTATTTGTAAATAAATTTATGCTGGAGAAGGTGTTTGTAAGATTTAGTGCTAATCAGTAGTGCTTGGCTGTGTAAGAAGTATCGAGTGTGAGGCTGTCTCACTCTTAACAATTGATGCAGCCACCATTTTAAGAAAGATGGATTTGAATAACACATATATTAGTTGGAGGTTACAATCTTGATTACAAGCAAATATCTTAAAGCTGAAGGTACTTGAAATTTTGTCATTAATTGAATGAAGACAGAGGGTTATTTATCATAAAGGTAGTCTAGTGTAACTTTCTTTCACAGCATATGAATTAATTTGTCTAGGCCCTAATATGCTCACATAGCTAATGTTTCAGCAGTTGTAGAGTGTTACTGTAAAGAGCAAATGTTAGTGGCTGTGAAAATACTTAAAAGCCCTTAAATTCTACTAGATACTGTTTGCTGTTATTTTCACGAAGCCCTAGGCTCAGCCTCTGTGTCCTGTATCTAAAGCTGGCAAGAAAAATTGCCCTCACCTTCAGTTACCTGTTTTTTCCAGGTTAAAAAGTAAATATAGTTTGGCAATGACAGAGGGGTTTGCATAAGACTAATCCCTCTGTAAATGAGCATTAACCACTTAACAGTTTAGCCCGAGCATTATTTGGACAGCACATTTGTTTACATACTGACTGTCCTGAGCATCACTCCTGCAGGTGTCATTTCAGCCAGTTGATTCTGTATTGAATAAATTTGATAAAATTGTTGTTTTTATGTTTACTGTTACAAAATTAATGAGAACAACTTTTGGTTACCCTATTTCGAAGTAGTAGGACTGATAAGTAGTTAAATATCATGGACAAAATACTAAAAGCAAACAAACTAGTAAGACAAGCGCAGAGGATCTTCAGGGCGGAGGACATATTCAGCATGGTAGTGTATGGTAGACAAATATCATTATACTCTTGTCCCAACTCATGGATCTTATAGTACCAGCAGTGAATGTGCTAATGCATAGCTCTACACTATGCATTTTAAAAAGAAATAGAAGCCATTGTGAGAATCATTTTAAAAGGAAATACAAGCCATTGTGAGAATTAAAATAGAGTACTTAAAGTAATTGAATAAATTGAGTAAAATCAAAGCGAAAACAAGTTTAAAAATTGTATGAGACAAATTGAGGGCAAATAGCAGATGTTGTAACATTTAAAATCTAGTTGTAGAGTTATAGTAACAGTTATGTTAAATGTAAAAAATTATTCAGTAACAAAAATATGACACAAGTCTACAATATGTCTAAGACATGTTCTTTAACGTTGTGGATAGGTTGAAAGTAAAAGGTGGG